ACCTCTCCCTAAACACAGCTTGGCCAGAGCTCCCTCTGAAGACTCAATCTCCGCATCTTACTTGCGTCTTTTACTCAGTTGTAGTGATGGCAGCGCCCCAGCAAACTGGCAGCGACATAGGCAGGTGGCTGTTTATAGCAAAGGCCAATGAGTCAAGTCTGCTAAAAGTACATTTCACACTGCTTAAATGAATGCTGCAAATGCCAGAAGCGCCATCCCAGGTCTGAATGCAGTCTGCCATGCGCTAAGGTGTGTGAGGTCACATTCTGGAGTGGAGGGACAGACGCAGACAAGCGTCGCTTTTCATAACCTCAAAGTTTACCTAACCAAGACTACAAAAGTAATACAGTGCAGCTTAGCAGTCATTAGATGGAGTGGCTTTTTTTTTCACCTGGTGATCCTGTTGGTCACATACTCCCCCCAGTCTATGGTGATGCCCACTTACTGCCCTCTATATAGGGGCAGCAAAGTCACCCTAGGAAAGAAAGCATATGGGGGGCGGGGGGGAAATGGCCGGTAGTACACAGAGCATTTCATAAAAGCACACTATTTGATATTTTGGTGCAGAAGTTGCAGAGAATACAGGCAGTTAATAAGAGCTCACTGGATTTCTGGTAAGGATAAAGGTGCCCATACACCGTACGACCATCGCAAGACTTTTGTCTTGCGATGGTCGTATGCTTCTTGAAAGCCCGTACGATCTGCCCACCTTGGACGGGCAGATCGTACTTGCGATCATCGAAAGCCAATGCAGCCAATGCAGAACGGGCAGTGTGCGCATGCGCACACCGGCCCGTTCCGCAGCTATCGGGCGAGCAGGCTAGAAACCCTCCGAGAATCGTACGATTCTCGGCGGGTTTTCGAACATGTTGGCTCGACAAAAGACGTGCGACCGTACAGTAGAAACGGTCGCACGTCTTAGTTCACACTGCTCGATTCTCGTACGATCGCGGGATTTCGCCCGATTCTCGTACGAGAATCGAGCAGTATATGGGCACCTTAACGCACCGAAAAAAATAACAAAAACCTATCATGTGGTATAATTAAAAGACAAAAAACGGGGCAAACAGGAAACGCTCATGGTTAGGATTTACATTCACTTTAACCCCTTCATGACTGAACTCGTTTTCAGTTTCTGTTCATAAATGACTGACGCACTTTTTAAATTTTTTGCTGTGTGATTCTTCCACGTCAGTAATATACTTTCTTACTAAATGTACCCACACATATTATATATTGTTTTTTAGAGGACAGATAGGGCTATATAATTACAGGTGAAACTCGAATAATTAGAATATCGTGCAAAAGTAATTGCAGTAAGCATGCTTGTACTTTTCAGAGGTCCGATATTGTTCTATGTACAATCCGTGTTTTATTGATTGCATGTAATAATCTACTTTTTTGAGGTTGTGGATTTGGGGTTCTTGGGGTTTTCATGAGCTGTAAGCCATAATCATCACAATTATGACAAATCACGGCTTGAACTATCTTGCTTTGCATGTAATGAGTTTATCTCATATATTAGTTTCACCTTTAAGTTGCATTAGTGAAATAAATGAACTTTGCACGATATTCTAATTATTCGAGTTTCACCTGTATATCGAACATGTGTACCCAACCCCTCACTTAGTTCGAATTAAATATAAAACAAATTAGGAAAAAACTTAAAGAAAACACTTTTTTTTTAGGGCTTGTTCACATGATTTTCCGGTCCAGATCGGCAGACACATTACTATGCGTGCAGTGCGTTTAACGCGTTTTTTTTTTACCATGTTCCAGTAAAAAAAAAAAAGTGGGTCTGTCAGTATGTTAGCTGCAGTGCGTTTCCGGAAAGGACAAAATGTGACATGTAGTATTTTCTCTGTCCGGACCGGAACGTGCGCGTGAGAACTGTAGCCCATAAAACACATAGGGATACATGGGGATGCATTTTGGGTGCAGGAGCGCACAGTTCGTCCGTACACAACTCGGACGTCGTGTGAACAAGCCCTTAGAATTGTGTATAATAATTATAGTATAAAAAATATATTCATATAATTTTTATTTTGTCAGTTTATATCAGTCACTATGACTGCTTGATAAATTAACTTTTTTGATTATTAAGGTGCCCATACACCTTACAATTATCTGCAGATTTTTTGTGGTCAGATGGAAAAAGTGCAACAGATTGGCCCAGGTGGAGATTACTCCAGCCACACAGTGTAGCGTAGAAGGAGGAATCTGTTGCACCTTTTCCACCATAGAAAATCTGCAGATAAATTGTAAGGTGTATGGGCTGCTCCAAACTTAGGAAGAGCTAATAATAACCTTAGAGACTGATCCTGACAGCATGTTAGAATCAGATCTCACTAAAGGTTTCTGATGGTGCCCAGACGATCAGAATGATAAATTTCAGGCACAGGGCTATTACAATGTATCAAAAATCGGGCCAGTCTATTGCGTGGCTACTTCACTGCTATCTTCAGCTGTCAAATACCGCTATTTAGCGATCTGGTATTTGTATGTAACGGCTTCATGTAATGAATGTCTCAATGATAGTAGCAGAGTTTGGCTGTTCCTCATACAGTTTTAAGCCTTCTACACAGCTGTTTCATGCTACATATGAGATAGATGATTGGCACCTGTGTTTGGTTTAATTGATGAATCATACACCTGATTCTAAAGCTGCCCATACACCTTAAGGTGCCCATACACCTTACAATTGTCGTACGCTAATCGTATGCGATCGACTTTTCGTCCGACAAGCGTAACGTGTGAATAGAGTGCCAGACCGACAGTACTGTACAATCGTACGACTTTTGAGGGTCAAGCATGTTTGAAAACTTTGGTCGATCGTACGATGTTCGCATGGCTGGTGGCGTTTCCTTCCGTCAAAAGCCGTACGATTAACACTGGGCATACGAAAATAGTTGCGGTCAATTACCGCAAGTCGTCCAGGTGTTTTTTTTAAACTACCGCTGATTGAACCTTGAACGAAAATCATACGACGGTTCGATCGGACGATAATCGTAAGGTGTACGGGCACCTTTACAATTATCTGCAGATTTTCTGTGGTCAGATGGAAAAGGTGCAACCGATTCCTCCATCTACACTAAACTGTGTGGCTGGAGTAATCTCCACCTGGGCCAATCTGTTGCACTTTTTCCATCTGACCACAGAAAATCTGCAGATAATAGTAAGGTGTATGGGCACCTTAATCCTACAAAATCCCTGACTGAATCCAAAGGGTAGTCACACCAAATATTGATTTGATTTAGATTTTTCTTCTGTTCACTCACTTTGCATTTTGTAAATTGATAAAAAAATAATAATAAATACATATATATATATTTCTGAAAGCATTCTTACTTTACAGCATTTTTTCCACACCTGCCTAAAACATTTGCAGTAATATATAGATGTTAAAATATGCATTAAAAGGAGAAGTATGGGGTAAGTGTTTTTTCCCATAGTTCTCAAGGGTCATAGGAGGACATAAACTAGCGTCCTCCCGTGACCCAACGCTCAGTATATTGCGAGCTGTACGAGACTACCGCAGCCGGGACGGATCCCAAAATTACTGTCGAGATCCACCCAGCTGCGTGATTGCAAGCTGGCTCTGCCTGTCTAGAGGCAGAGCCAGCTGTACCCGCCCCCTCCCCCGTCCGTTCCGCAAGTCAGCGCTGGAGGATCGAAGAGGGGCGGGAATCCCTGCAGGGAGCCGTGACTGTCACAGCTCTCTGCAGGGACATGATCGAGAAGTGAGTGAGCGCCAGTATGTGTTCGCTCACTTCCCCATCTATTGAGCCGACGTGGGACAGTTTAATTGTCACACGTCGGCTCGATCATGGCTAAGCCAGCAGGCAAATCATTTTACAGAAAACGTGCAGTTACCAAAATGCCCAATGAATTTACATTAGATATCTAGAACAATATTCTGTCAAAGATTATATTCTGGCGTTTTGTTCCAAAGTGCTGTAACGAAACACTGTATGGCAAAAATACACAATGAAAGCTTTGCTCAATTACACACAAAGACACCAGAGCTGGTTGGCTTTCAAACTAAACCTTTATTTAACCACTTTCTTCATTCCTCCTGAACGGTCTAGTTGACACAAGTGCATTATTCCGTGCACAGCATTGTGAGGAGTGAGCTAGGAAAACCAGGCTGAAATAAAAACACTTTTCAGGCGGAACAAGATGTCCACCCAAAACAGCCCCCGCCCTACCTCCCTCCCTCCCGTGTTACTTGACAATCATGGTAGCCACAGCTCTCCCAGTGTTTCAAAACTTGCGCAAAAAAATTAAAAAGAATTCATCCGTTGAGTCTTTCTTCATCTTCTCAATTTTTCATTTTTTTTTTTTTAAAGAAAAAAAAAGAAATCATAA